GCACAAGCAGGGGGAGAGGGAGAAGCAGGCTCCCCGCTGAGCAGGGAGCCTGATGCGGGGCTGGATCCCAGGACCCTTGGATCATGACCTGAGCCAAAGGCAGACGTTTAACTGACTGAGCCACCCAGGCACCCCTACAAGGATCATTTTAAATAAGTTGTTTCCAGTGAAACAACAGCATCTCTTCAACAACCGAGATTTTTCAGGGACTCCTAAGACAGCAGCTATTTTTTAGTAATCTACTAATTCAGAGAAAATGATTATTATCGATCCCATATCATTGACCATACACATAAACATCTGTATATGAGAATTAGTAGTAGATATACCAAGCACATTATTAATTCTTATAAAGTTTAAACAGTTTTTATATGAGAATCATCAATACAGGAAATGGAGAGTTTGGGGCTGTATGTGGATCTAAGCTCTGGCTTTCATCTTAGCTGTGTGGCCTCAGGCAAGTCGTTGGTGAAGTTCAGATATCCCCATCTACCGTTTAAGGATGCTATAAGGGTAAGGATCAGAAATGCTATCAGAAGTACTGCATGGCATGTAGTAGGTGGCACATAAATGATAAAGAGTATTATAGCTGTATCCTCATGTTTCATTTGACAGCAACTCTAGTCTTTCCTGGATGCTTTATAAAAGAATTAAGGTTTTTAGGGGCACCTGGCTGGCTCAGTTGGTGGAGCATATAACTTTTGGTCTTGGAGTTGTGAGTTCAAGCCCCACACTGGGTGGAGGGTACTTAAAAAAAAAAAAAAGTCTTAAAAAAATTAAGTTTTTTAAACGCCGGAATATATGTGATTAAGCTGAGTGGTCCTTTCAATATACACTACAGATATCTATTAAGCTAATTAATGTTAGGTTACCAAAAATACCTACAATTGCCAGCAGTTCAGTAGACTGTGTGGGTATTTCTTACCTTAAATTTACATAACTGGAATCACAATCTTCTACCTCAGGCTTTCAGGAATAAGCCAGGATTTGTCAAGCACCTGCCAAATACTCAGTATCATGAAGAGTGCAGTCATATGAAGTATTAGGACTGGAGATTAAATATTAGATTCAAACACTAGTAGCAAGAATGGGCCTATCCTTTCTATCCTTTCCTGTTGGTAATTCATGTGACAGTGAAATAACCAAGCCCTAATGAACGATGTCTCATTAGTAATGTTAGAAGGCTATCAGTACGTTTTAAAGGTAATTATAAAAATTGTTTATTTCCCTTGTTTAATTAACACAGTCGCTAGAACTTCAAGCTCAGTGTTTAATTTTCCCCAACAGTTTAGCTATTTCCAAGAAAAACAATCATTTGAAGACTGGAATTGCAGATAACAAAATATTATTACCTTGTACTGGCTTCTCTTTACCAGATCGTTTCAGTAAAAACAGAACTCCCAACTGGTCTACTTGGTTGCCACTTCACGTCCATTAATACAGCAAAAGTCTTGATTTTTGCCTCTTGTGATTATCAACCGAGCAACTAACTTCAAAGAAAGGGCAGCAGAAGGAATACTGAAGAACCACAGAACTGTCCAGCAAGTTACACTAAACACAGTATTAGCACAGATACAGGTAACTTTCATGCTTCTCAAATTCTTTTCTTCCAGAACACCTTAGGATTACAGAGCCAACACTTCTGCTTTAAAAAAAAAAAAAAAAAAATTAATAACTGTAGTCAGGGCAAGAAAAGGAAAACAGTATCTTTATTGTGTGTAGTTCTAACAAACATTCACTGTGTGCACATTCCAGCAGAAAGAGACAAAGATCTTTGTTCAAAATATGCTGAAATAACATAGGTAAACAAACTCCATTACTGAATACACAAAAGGAATGTTAATATTACTCGTTCACAGTTGAGGGTAAAGTAAAAAGAAAGGAAGTTAAAGAATCATAATATTTTGCCCAACAAGCACACGTAGAATATAGGTACAGGAAAAGAGCAGCTCCTAAAACTTATGAGTAAGATGCTAGATATTGGGTAGGTAACTTGACAAATACCTCTCTGCTTTCTGGAACCTCCCTCTGAAATCACCCCCACAAATTCCAAACCAGGCCCTTTCAGAGAACAACAGCCAAATGTGAACTAAACTCCCCATTACTTTTGTGATATTTGGCAACAGAGTAAGATGGTTTAAAAAAAAAAACAATCTCTTGTTGAGACAAGACATGTCTGAATCCATTTCTCTCAGGAAAGGAAGTAATGAACATTAATGTTCTGCATTTCAATCTCCTAAAATGGAATTTAACCAGATAGGTATCACTTGAGATTTGAAGCACGAGATACCATAAGTAATGATATACCTGGCCTATAAATATAAAGCATTTCTCATTGCTCCACATCGGAACTCAATGAGTATAAACTCAACAATGCTCTTATCTCACAACATATGCATTTATGGCAACTGCTAAAAGAACTTAACAGGCTCAAATTATAGGTGCCAGTGGATTTTTGTTTCTGCTTAAGAGGTCGCAAAAGAACTAAATACAGCATCAACTTTGTCCCCACTTTATTGTCTTTAATAAATGTGGAATTGTTTAGGGCGCCTGGGTGGCTCAGTTGGTTAAGTGACTTGCCTTCGGCTCAGGTCATGATCCTGGAGTCCCGGGATCGAGTACCGCATCGGGCTCCCCGCTTGGCAGGGAGTCTGCTTCGTCCTCTGACCCTATCCCCTCTCATGTGCTCTCTCTCTCTCTCATTCTGTCTCAAATAAATAAATAAAATCTTTAAAAAAAAAATGTGGAATTGTTTAGAAACTGAAACCAATTACTAAGGGACAGGGGCTAGGAAATTTTGGAGACCTGGTACTCATATCCCCATGTGGGTGGCACACGTTGTCCCTCATCTCCTCCTTTTGTGACCTCCAGCCATCATGTGTACAGCACAGTGTGCGGCCACGACTGGTCCTCCTCAGGAACGAACAACCCACCACCCCAGAGACCAGCCCTCCGGGGCCCCATCAGCCAACAGAGACTGGCTCCACTTACTCTCCAGAAGGGTTTTCGTGACCTACCGCTGTTGAGACTGTTACGAGAATTTGAGTTTACCTCCTAAAACAAGTCCTTTTTGATGGATTTGTATTATTGTATTATTCTACTGTTTAGAAAAACCTCTGCAAATTCGCACACTAGCTCTACCTTTCGTCTGGCTCAGCAGAGTAACAGTGAATGGACCCAAACGTGGTTTTTCTAGTACAAAGTGACATCAGGAGTAGATCAAAAGAAGCCCTGGGTGTTGGATGGATTTCATGGACGGTAGAGACAAAGTCTGAAAATCTTTTCCTCTGGCTCCGAGGAAAAACAAGTCCAGATATAAACAGGAAAAGAAAACCAATATGAAATAGAAAAGCTACCTTTTATGTTAGTGTTCACCCTAAAAATATATTAAAAAAAAAAACTCACCAATTTTACTTAAGACTGTAACTCTTTAACATTTCTTATCAGCCAGATGTTTTTCATTTAATTTTGGAGACTGCCAATATACTTTTAATTGATCCAAGTTATCTGCTGGCTTAGTTTCAGCCTCAATGTTCCCCTTCCAGTTCCTCAATAGTCCTTTGTTTGTCATTTCTACCCCAATGTGGCCCATGTAATCATGCAGCTTAATTATTACAGCAATTATATACCAATTCTTATTCAAGGCAGCCCTTCCTTATGCCTTCAAATGGGAGGAGCATCAATAGTCACACCACTTTTGTTACATAATCACCAAAGGTTTTTTTCAATAAATTGTCTAAAAGTGGCATCTTATACAAAATATTTTCTAAAGATAGAAGTTTCACTATTCCCACACCCCGGATATATAAAAGTCTGCCAAAAATCCCCTAAAATTTCTTTATAATATCATATCCAAGTGTGCAAATACAAGGTTAATATTATTTTGATGAATTCTGAATTCACGACAGGACCTGGGTTGAACCTTTTCTTAAACAGTCTGCAGGGGCAGACGCTGCTTTGCGGGGGCCTTTTCTGTCTTGTCAAGTCCGTGGCAAGTTGGAAGTGAAGGTGGGGCAGGGGGAGATACTGAGTAGTGTCCATGGTCCTTCTGGAACCAAGCCACTCCTTGCTGCACAGGATAGTGGCTCAGAAGCAAACTGGTAATGCTTAAAAGATGGGGAGAAAAACCACCACAAACAATTGTTGGCAGAAAACAGCCCATACACTGTCTCCTCAGCTGCTTCCATAGGGGAAAAAAAAAGTAAAGTCAAATAAGCCAGAGAAATTCCTGAACCAATAAGGAACACTCACTAATAAATAGTATTTCTTCTAAATAATAACCTACTCTTCAATTAAAGGAATAAAAGGAACAAAACTTCTAGCTGGTTGTTTTTTTCTTTTCCCCATCAATGGAAAAACAACAAAACCACAAATTGGAGCCATGGAGGTAAAATCCGGACGAAATGGAAAACATTCTCTTGTCACGCTCTCCCCCTTTCGAAGGCCACTTCACTGTGGAAGTTCTTTTACTGGGGCTAACAGAAGATCAGCTACTGTAGCTTAGATCAAGTTGGACTCTTGTTTTTGTAAAACGGGGAGTGAAAAAATTCACTCATCTTAATCGATAAAAAAATTTTGGTAAAGTTCTACAGATAGAATTATAAATCTGTATCTAAGCAGTAAGACAGCGGGGGGGAAAAGAAGAAGATGGCTACAAAGTGGTGGCATGCCAAAGTAGAGCATGAAGTCTTGGGGGGGGAAAAAAAAGAAAAGAAAAGAATGAAGTCTTTGGTGCTTTCCCTTAATTCCCGTCCTAAGTAGTGTCTTCAATATTTTGTGAAACAAAGAGGACTAGGCATTCACCCTATCACTCACCCCAATTCATCTCTCCCCTTCCCTCTTCCTCTCTGCTCCCAAGACATACGACGGAAGCACAGTTCTGTCCAGCAGCACTTGGCGGACCTGGGGGGTGGCAAGAGCTACCTCCTACCCTAGCTCCGGAGGGAGGACAGGATTTCATGGTCCTTCCGAATTTGAACAAATACAAACAAGGAACGAGATCATCTGGCAGTTGTGTTTTGTCACAGGTGTGCAACTTTACTTCATTAATTAAACCCCTTATGATAAATAATAGAATGAAGTCAGAAGAAAAATGGAAAAAGGAAAGCTTCAGAACCAGTGTGTTGCCCTGTTAAGAACGTCTGATGTACATCAAGGAACTGGAAAGCAGGCATTTTCACCAAAGGACAATGTCACTAGGACATTCGGATTGTAATTATAAAACCAAGTTCAGAAACACGAAGGGGCTGGTGGAAGCCAGCGGAGGGAGGGGCATTGGCAGGGACACAGAACAATGAGCAGGTGCTTTGGGAGTAAGGCTCTGGGAAATGAAGGACACTGGCCCCAGGTCTGGGGTGGGCGTCTGGCCAACCATCTGGCCTCCAAGGGGGAAGCACACACCCAGCAGGATTCGAGAAGAGGGCATCGCTCTGCCTCCAAACGAGTCTCTAGCTCGCACTCCCAATGGATATGCTTTCCAACTTCCACATGGTCTCCTCAGGAGGATTTGCTTTCCGCCGTGTAGTAACGGTACAGGAAACCTAAGACAATAGCGCCTAGGATGGGCAAAATCCAGTACGACCAGCAACTAGAAGTGGGGGGAAAGCAATGAAGCCGTGAACACCTGATACCAAACATTTGCTATCTCTCAACACCCACATTTTCACATTTTTATGAGCAAAGAGTTTTTATTTACTTTGGAAAGTTTAACTGCTTTTAGCACCCAAGTAGCAGGAAAAAACATTTGGATTGGTATGATAATATTAAACAGTAAGTTTTAAAACATTAAAAACAGAATGCATAGTATGATGAAAAAATATATACATACATACACAGTTCTTTATATGTTTTTACAAAGACAAGTAGTGGTTATATCTGGATTACGGATGGCTTAAATTTTTCTTCTTTGCGCTTTGTTTTTTACATATTTTATAATTAACATTTTTAAACAGGAAAAAAGCCACCATTTTATAGATATAATTACAAATTTAAAAGCAATACCATCTGATACAACTATTGGCAATGTTTTATCTGTCTCACATGTATTTTCTAAATTTAATCCTCAAAACCACCCTATGAAATAGGTACTACTATTACTCTCATATACACAGAGAATACAAGCCTTGTACCCAAAATCACAAAGCGAATTGAGTCAACCCGTCTGATTCCAGACCCATCCTCTTAGTCTCTAGTTAAGTTTGGACACTAACAAGGATACACACCCACATAGAACATATTGAAAAGTTAAATAAATAAATGGCAGTTGGCTTAAAAAAAAGTTGGGGTGCCTGGGTGGCTCAGTCAGTTAAGCAACCAACTCTTGGTTTTGGCTCAAGTCGTGATCTCAGGGTTGCGGGATCGAGCCCTGATTGAGCCTCCTTGAGATTCTCTTTCTCCCTCTCCCTCCTGCTCTCTCTCTAAAATAAATAAATAAATCTTTAGGGGGAAAAAATAAGGTCAAATAAAGTTAAATAAATCGCAGTTGGCTTGAGAAGTCCTGTAAGAGACTTTCCTTAGGAACTTCAGGATTGTCATCACTCTCTTTAAAATAATTCTTCTCTATTCAGCTCATTAGCACTGCTCATTTTAAAGTGTAATTTTTCCATGATCCAAATGACCTGCATGCCCCTCTACTAAGACATATGCAGCCTTGGTATTAAAAGGTTTTGAAGCCAATAAAACCAGCCGAGTTTCAGTAACAAAAATGATTCTCCTTGCCTAAACATGCCTGGCACTTTGTACATTTAAGTATGGCAGAAAGCTGCCCCAGAGTTTAGAATGTCAGCCAAGGAGCTTAGTGTAAAAAAGCAAGCAAGCAAACTGGCATGTACAACAGCACTATGGCACATGGGAACTTTGAAGTCCAATGTCCCCAGAAAGGTAATCAATTCAGGTATCTTGGAGAACCACAAGAGACAAAAGTAGGGTCCTTGAGAAAACACTGAAGAGAAATTCTTCCATGCAAAAGACTGAGAATGGTTGACCACCAGTTCTCATACAATCCTTTGTAATACTTAGCTGTCACTGGGGATAGAAGCAGAGGAAACGGATTTATGCTGCACCAGAAGAGTTTTAGGTGCAACAGTAACTTCCCAGCCATAAGACAGAACTCTGGTTTTGGAGATTTGCTCAGGTTACTGCATGTAGTTGTGACTCATTTGTTTTTATTGCTTTGTAGTATTACACTTTATGAATATACCAGAATGGATTCATTCTATTTTATTATTTTTTGGATTCATTTTATTAAGGAATGGTTATTTGGGTTGTTTCCAGTATTTTGCTATCTTGAATAATGCTGTTATGAACATTCTATGTATGTGTTTCCTGGCATACTTGTGCACACATTTCTCTCACATATATCCCTAGAAATGGAATTTCTGGGTCAAAAGTTATTCATATTGCCAAAATTACTAGATAATGCCAAATTCTTTTCCGAAGTGATTGTACCCATTTATGCTCCCCTAAGAGGGCCTAAGAACCTTGGCGATCCACTTCCTCAACAACTTCTCTTATCTGTAGAATTTTCAATTTTTGCTAACCTGGTAGTTGTAAAATATATCTTATGATTTTATTTTATTATTTTTAAAAGATTTTATTTATTTATTTGAAAGAGAGAAAGAGCACACATGAGCAAGTAGGGGGAGGGGCAGAGGGAGAGGGAAGGAATCTCAAGCAGACTTCCCACTGAGTGAGGAGACAACTTAGGGCTAGATCTCACGACCGTGAGACTATGACCTGAGCAGAAACCAAGAGTCCAACACTTAACCCACTGAGCCACCCATGCGCCCCTACCTTATGATTTTAATTTGCATCTCTCTGATAACAAGTGAAATTAAACCTTTTTTTTTTCATGTGCCTGTATTTGGGTTTCCTCTTCTGTGAAGTGCTTGTTTAAGTCTTCTCTCATAGTCTACTAAATTTTTTAAATTGATTTGTAGGAATTCTTTATGTATTCTGCATAATAATTCTTCTTTTTAAAGATGCATTTATTTATTTTAGAGAGAGAGGGAGAGAAAGCATATGAGTAGAGGGAGGGGAATAGGGAGAGAATCTCAAGGAGACTTCCCACTGAGCACAGAGCCCAACGCTGGGCTCTCAATCTCACTACACATGAGACCATGATGCGAGCTGAAATCAAGAGTCTGTCCCTTAACCGACTGAGCCACCCAGGCGCCCCTGCATAGTAATTCTTAACAAGTGCTATGTGTAGCCTAAGTCTGCTGCAAGTTTATGGCTTGTGTTTTCAAATTCTTTCCAGAGTATTTGGCTGAGCATAAGATCTTAATATTAAGGAAGGTGAATTTATTAATAGTTTCCTTTAAGTTTAAATTTTTTAAATTCTCTGTCCTTAACCTCAAATTAAATTGAGGCAAATGTATATCTTCCAGAGCTCATACTATTGTATTCCTAAAACCACGGCAAGGGATATTTGAAGTAAACCTTTGAAAAAAAAAACCCCAAATCCCTGAATACGCATGCAATGCATATTTTTTCCTTCTATAAAATGCAATAATAGCACATACCTTACAGAGTGGTTGTGAGGATTAAATGAGATTAAGTTTTAAGTGGAAGTTGCATAGCAGGGCTGAGCTGCAGAGACTGTTAGCTTGACTTAACAGTAGTTAGCTGTCCATGCACTGGCCTCTCACCAAATGTGATTCCAAATTATGTCACAACATGATTTAAAAATTACTCAAAGCATAAACTTTTGAGATTACTCAAAACGATTCAAACTGTCAAAATTAATTTTGCTAATGGTAAGGAACCACTGAATTTGCAGTAATTTTGGCCAAAAAAATATACTAAAACCCCCTGACTGGTACTTTTTAAAAACTGAAATGTAGTTAACATATACTAGAAATATAGTAATACAATATTACATTAGTTTAAGGTGTACAACACAGTGATTTGACAAGTTGATACTTATGCGGTGCTCACCACAAGTGTAGCTACCATGTGTCACTATATAATACTTTCACAATACTCTTGACTATATTCCCCACTTTTCTTCCCAAGTCAAACTGTATTCTTCAATTATGTTATACATGTATATTTATGGAAGAACCTCTGGCCAGACATTATGTTGAACATAAGGAAGTCCATTAAGGGTATACTAACCTTTTGCATGGAGCATCTTTCGAAGGGTCCTGAAGAAGATGCATATTCAAAAGTTACCAAGAGAAACAAAGAAGATTAATAAGTATGTAAATCTTCCTGAATATCTATATAAACTTTGCAGCTGATAACAGAACTTCATCTTTCATGCAGTTTGATGTTTATAAACCTAATGCACTGGGAGGACCAAGAATTCTATTTCTGATAACATACTGGTACTCCCTAGTGAAGAACAAGTAAGGAAAGCATAGAAAAATGGCCTAAACTTTCTTAGATGTAGAAAAAAAAAAAAGGCTATTGATACAAACTATATTGAAATGAACTAGCTGCAGTCACAATGACATGCCTAGTTCAGCTGGGCTTGCCACTGGCAGTAGCAAAGACCACATTTTCTGAAAACGTATTTTAAAAAATCAAAACTGTGTCAAAAAGATCAAATGTGAAATGCTCTAGAGCATGCAGATGATTGCTCTGTGGCTTATAGAAATGAACTGGTTACTCTCTGAAATCATAATAATTATGATTAGAAAGCCTAAGGCTTATTTAACAATGAAATGGGAAGAATGGAATTAAGGGGGGGAAATATCAAAACAACCTTAAAAGCAAATTTCTGGCAATAAAAAGTAATAAAGTACTGATCCATGTTTCAACATGGATGAACCTTGAAAACATTATGCTAAGTGAAAGGAGCTGGATACAAAACACGACATATTATACAAGTATTATAGAAATCCATTTGTATGAGAGGTTCAGCATAGGCAAATCTAGAGGTAGAAAGTAGATCTGTGGTTCCCTAGGGCTGGGGTGGGCGGCAACAGGGGAAGAGGAGTTGGAGGGGAAAAGGAATGACTGTTAATGGTATGAGGTTTCTTTCTGGAATGATGAAAATGTTCCAAAATTATTGTGATTATGGTGGCACAGCTCTATGAATATACTAAAACCCCCTGACTGGTACATCTTATAGAGATAAATTGGATGGTATGTGAATTATATCTTATAAAGCTGTTATTAAAATTTTTAAATCCAATTTAAGTAAATATCAAATGAAGTTCTAGAGTCCATTAATTAGCTGTATATACAAAAGGCCTGCTAACTTACTGCCAGAGGACAAACCCATTAGCATAGGTTACTGCTGCCCAAAATATCCTCTTTGCCAATATGTAGAAGTATGCTAGGGTGTGAACACAGAATATTTACTCTGTTTAACCACAATTTTCAGTAATCACCAAGAATTTCCAAAAACCCTACATACTGGTCTAGATACTTTAGAGCAGATCATGGAATGAGTTTTAATTTCATATACCCAAACACTGCCATGCAAATGAATACATGCCCCAAACCCAAAAGAAATTAGCCTACAGGCAAGTAAAACTTTTAATAAAAAGTTTCAGATAAGGCACATAAATAAACTACTATACTTCTTTGAGACCTTGATGATTAACTGCTATCTGGGACATTTCTACTAGAATATCATCAGTCAGGTTAATTAAAACATATTACTAGTCGATCTTTGAGAAATACAGCAAATGTTTTATACATTTGGAAGGTGGTGGTTGTAGTAGTTATGGTAGTGTGTGTGTCAGATTAACTTATAATGTTGCCTTATAAAAGATTCCACTATAGTAGCCATGAAATAATTGAATTTCATCAAGAAAATGTCCATGGTCTTTTATGCTTTATCCACATATGATTTTAGAACAAAAAATGTACAGTCAGTATTAAAAAAATTAGGACAATTTGAAAGGCTTACATGAAGGCATTATAGAGTAATGTATGTGTTATGTTTAATCTGTAATCATAGTAAAAGCCAAAGTTCCTATTACTGGATTCTCTAGATTTCAAACCTTTAGCCTCTTTTACAACTAAAAGCCTGGGATGTGTGCTAACTGGAGTGAAACTTAAGACAATGCAGAAAGCAACTGAGAAAAGAAAGAGAAAGACCAGAGAGAAGACCATAATATGCTCCAACTGTAATAGTTTCTAATAAGCAATAAAAAATTTTAAAAACACTTAAAAAACAAAACAAAACAAAAAAACTAAGTACCTCAATTCCTGTTTTAAGATCATTCCATCCCTGGAGGCAAAAAGACCAATTTCCCTACTACTGGAGGAAAGAGAAGAGAAAGAAGTGGACCCTCTCTTTAAGACACTGACAGCCAAGTAAATGCCAAACTACAGTGACTCCACTTTTAATCAACTATAATGAAAGAGGTGTTTAAGGCACTGCTCTTAGAAGCCAAGTACCTCAGCCAAGTTTGGAAAGAAGCCAAGTACATTATTTTTAATTTAACAAAATTAAAAAGAAAAGGTTTTGTTCACACAAAACCTTCCTTCACCCCCACCCTGCCATTCTTTCTATGCACAGCTCCCCAATTCCCATTTCCACTCCAAAGCTCTGTGCTCAATCTAATGGATGCCTAAGTGAAATTCCTACAGTTTATGATTGACTTTAACTTACCCCTTTGTGTGTTCAGGCATATCTGGCTGGTTATGTCCTTGCCCACATCTTAATTTACATGCAAGATTTTTGGTCAGGAGAACAGGGACTGCTCAATTTTGGCATGGAAGGCTGTAATTGCAATACTATATGATTTCAGTTACAAGAGAGCAGATTAAATCCAGAGTTCTTCTACCAAAAGCCTTACCAAGTAATTAATATGCATGTTTCTGGAATACACTTCTGAACTACTAAACTGTTTTTTTTTAATTTTTAATTTTTATTTTTTTTTTAAAGATTTTATTTATTTATTTGAGACAGAGAGAATGAGAGAGAGAGAGCACATG